GGGGTCCTCTTGGCTCTTGGGGGCCTCCTGGGGGCCTCTTGGGGGCCTGCTTGGCCATTTTGGGGCCTCCTGGTCGCTTCTTGGGGCCATCTTGGAGGACATCGATCAAAGAACGGGATGGTCACAATACGCGCCTCCCCCCAAAGAGGCCAACATGGGGCCGGAACCTTGCTAAGTCCAATTACTTTGGTTTCCTCGTCGAGGCCGTTCTGGACGCCCTGACACCTCGCCGCCCCCCCCGTCCAGGTCTAGGGGGGAGGTCAGGGGGAAGGGTGAACCCCTCCCCGACGGGGAAAAAGGCGTGTGGAAGAGGAAACTATGAACCACTTACGCCCAGAGGGTTTGGGGGATTATGAGTAGCGTTGCCCGGGGGCCCGTTCAGAGCAGAACCGAGGTCGGGCCCGCGGCCCCGCTGCAAGTGGACCCGCCGTAGACGATGCACCCCCCTCCGCTACGTGTCACATTCCTTGCTGTGGCCTTCCAGTGCCTACCGTTTTTGTTTTATTACCAGGACCATCCCCGTCGCCCTGCCAAGCTTAACCGCTATGTCAACATGCGCATGTGTTTCCATGAAGCCGCCTCTCGGGCTTTGCAGCCTCATTTTGGCAACCCTGAAACCGAGGCCCCCAAACGGCCCAGAATGGTCGAAGACAAAGGATTACAAACGGCCCCCAAGATGCCCCCGCGCGGGTTCCGTCAACGTCTCACCGATCATCCTACACATTTTCGGATCACGATCCATGGACGGCGGCGGGATGGGCCGAAACCCATTCCGGTTTTTGTCGTAAGCCCCCAACGCTTTTTCTCACCCTCCTCCACTGGCCTTGCCAGCTCCAGCCGTTTTTGTTTTGTTACCTCACACCTCCTCTATCAAATTCAATATCCTCACCACATTTTTCCCCCGAGGGTTTCTCGAACGATTCCATTGGGTCGTCCTGTAGGTTTTGCAGCTTCAGTTGGGACGATTGGCGGCGACAATCATGTTCTTGGAAAGCCTGCCGGGAACATGGTTGTCGCCGCCAGTCGAAGGAGGAAGAGGAGGGCGAGGAGGGAAGGAGGAGCGCGGATGCACGGCGCGCAGGTGATGATAACGAGGATGGGGAGGAGGAGGAGGAGGAGGAGGAGGAGGAGGAGGAGGAGGAGGAGGAGGATAGGGGGGAGGAGGAGGAGGAGAATGAGGAGGAGGAGGAGGAGGAGGAGGAAGACGAACAACATCAAGAAGCGGAAGAAAGGGATGGGGGAATAATCCATAATTACCCATCCGCTGATCCGTCCCGTTCTCCATTAGCCGTCCTCGCCCTTTTTGCCCATTTTGCCTGAAAGTTCCGTTCTCCCCTACTTGCCTCCCTCCTTTCCCTCTTCTTCTCTCCCTCTTTCCCCTTCCCACGCCCGCGACCTCGGCGACGACGGCGGCGACGACGCCGACGACGACGTCGACGCCGGGATTGCACCTGCTTGTCATGATGGAAAACGAGGATGCAGCTCATGAGTAGGAGGATGCAGATAAGGTCTTCGGAGTTGAATAGAACCTAAGCGCGCGTAGCACGCGCATGATTCGGTAGATATGTATACGAATGTGAATACATGAATGTGTATATTTACATATATATATATATATGTATATATATATATTTACATATATATATATATATACATATATGTATATATAAGTGTACCAGCATAGCCCGGGTCTTTAACTATGTGCACTCTGACGTGACCGTAGCATTCATGATCGAAAACCAGAGGTTCTGTGTAATAACAGTTCCGCGTGCATGCTTAGGTTTGTTTGTAGCGGACACATATTGCGCGCACGTCAATTTGATTAAACGGTGAATTGTTCAAAACATGTGTAATTAGTTACGAGCATGGGTTGTGTTGTCAGTCTTGGATGGTTGTCGTTGGCAAACGTGTTTTATTGTTTTCTTGATCGACCGCACCGGTTCCCTGGAACACCCGTGGCAGATTATGTCAAACCGTACATGGTAACGGTTATAGTTGGTGTGTGCGTGTTGCGTGTGCACGTGGTCATTATCTTTGTTCGCATGTCGATTGAATTCCGAGTGATGCAGTTCGGAAGGGTCACGGAGGGAGGGGGACAAGTATGACTCTCCACGTTTTTTGTCAGTGTGTTTGGCGTGTTTCTCTTCTTGCGCATGCTGATCACGTTCTCCAGCCTTTTTCCCCACCCGACAGGTTGGCGCCGTTAGATTTCGAGAACAGGCCACCTGGCCAACCACACCCCGCATAACGTGGCCGCCAGACCCCAAGTTGTCTTTATGATCCCCAAGAATCCCGGGTGTCCCGCCTCGCGCCTGGCCAACTCCGCCCTGCATACCGCGGCCGCCAGACCCCAAGTTGTCCGATGATCCCCGAGAGTTCCAGGTGTCCCGCCTTGCGCCATCGACGAACACGACAGAACATAACATGACATAACAGAACATGACAGAACGGAGCACAGCATGAAAGAACATGACAGACCATAACAGATCAGTATCATGGCAAGCTAGAGCATCACATAACATCACACAACATACCAGAGAAGAACATAACATAACAGAAGACGACATAGCACACCACAGCCGAGCATAATCACACAGCATCGCAAACATATCCCTACACACAGCAGGGCATAGCGATGACGAGCACGACAGAACACAACATGACACAACAGAGGATGACAGAACAGATGACGAGCATTACAGACCATGGCAGAACAGAACATGGCAATGCCATGACAAAGTATATCATAACATACTATCACATCACATACTAGAGCAGAATATGACAGAACAGAAGACGGCAAAACACAACACAATATAATATCACCGAACAAAGCATAACACACCTTGACATATCATACCTCATCATGGTACAGCATCGCGGAACACATCATATCACGGCAGTAGAGCATAGCGACGCCGAACACAACATAACCCAACACGACACAACAAAACATGACATACCATAATACGAGCATGACATAACATGACGGAATTGAGCATCGTAGTGTTATGCCAAAATAGGTTAGATAACAGGTCATGACAGGACATCTTAGAGCAGCACAGGACAGAGCAGAAGACGACAGAGCACACGAAAACATGACACAACCGAGCATACCGTGACACACTTTGACAGGACATAACATACTTTGACACAGCATTACAGAACGTTCCATACCACGACAGCAGGGCATATCGACACATACTAGCAGAGGGGGCACTTATACACCATGCAGAGCCGAGCCGTCAACAAACAAACCATCACATACTATACCAGAACAGAACATGACATAATAGAATACGCCAAAACATAACATAACATACACAGCCGAGTATATCATATCACACTTTGGTACACCATCTCATATCATGACCGCATCACGGAACCGATCATAACACGACAACACAGAGCATAGCGACCACGAACGCGACATGCCACAACAGGATATGACAGAACAGGACACGAACAAGCCAGAACATGCCAGACCATCCCATAGCAATGTCATTACAAAAGACAGAACAGCAGACGACAGAACACGACATATCATAACACATCGGGCATACTATAACAGTTCTTGGTAGACCATTCCATATCATGACACAGCATCACAGAGCATATCATAGCACGGCAGCAGAGCATAGCGACACATACTAGCAGAGCAGATCAGACTATTATACAGAGCTGAACCGTCACCAAACATAACATCACATACTATTCCAGACCAGAACATGTCATAACTGAACCGAACATAACATCACACAATCTGACACAGCACATGCCAAGATATTGTGGTAGCATCACATAATATATCATAGCACGGCAGCAAAGCATAAAAAACATGCTAGCAGAGCAGAGCATCCTATACTATATTGAGCCGAGCTGTCAACAGCAGCACCGAGCAGATCAGACTAGAACCTAACCTGACAAAACAGATCATGCTATAACATGGTTCCACAGAGTAGATCATATTATAACATCTCAAAGCATATGGTGACATATACTGTCATAACATAACAGACTTAGTCAGAAGAGAAGCGAATCAATGAAGAGGAACATCATACCACACGACGCATTTAACGTCACAGGTGTAATGACGGCACGCCAGCCCGTCGAGAACAGAGCAGGACATAACCGAGCATAACATGAAGGAGCGTTACTACATGAAACACTGCTGAACCGTTTTTGCATCCAGAAGTGGCAGTTGTGCAATGGTGGAGCGGAGCACCATGACAGAACAGGACATAGCAAAACATGCGAACAGCGCAGATCACACGATACTTTACAGAGCTGAAACGTCAACAGCATCACGGAACAGGGCATATTGTAATACAATTCGCAAGAATCTGTCATGTCTTTACGTGGACAACGCATACTGTGGCAGAGGCAAGCATGACAGCATATTTTAATAACGGATGACATAACGGAAGGGCAGAGGGATACCACAACATGACATACCGTACAGGGACCGCAGTCACACCAATGAGCGATTCGACGATGCATCTAACGTGACAAGCAAGCGTCACGACGTCACGCCGGCCCGTCGATATCAGAACACCACAGAACACAGCGTCGCATAGCACATTGGGGCAGAAACCTATGCCTTTCGCACCGCATCGCGCGTTTTCGAAGCTTGTTTTTCCGTCCTGGGGTCTCTTTCAATTTCTTTCGTCAGGAGTTCTGGGGTTGTTGGATCTGGAGAACGGAGTTCGCCACCCGGTCCGACAGCCGCACTGGCCGAGACTAAAGGGCCCTGCGCACAGTGTTCCACCACTTGTGCGACTGCGCGCCGTCGGGAACAGACGCTTAAGGTTTCAGTGGGGACCGCCCGGAGCAAAATGATCCTTTTTCCCTTTCGCCCTTCTTCCTCGTCCTATCAGCCTCATGCAGTTTCGTCTGGCCCAATCTGGGGTCCTCTTTTCGCCTCGCCTCCTCGCAATCAGCTCCGCCGTGGGGCAGGGGCGATGTATCTCGACGGCTTGTTATAGCTACGCGCCGGTGTCATGGTCGTTTCCTCTCCCCAATCTTGCCTCCGCCCACCCTCTTCGTGCAGCATTGTTGTGGCACGAGATCCTCCAACGCAGGAGCCCAGAGGCGCGCCCGCCCCCCTCCCTGCCGACCGAAGCGGCCGCGATGGCGTTCTGCCGGCTCTCTCTCTGGGCAGTTGCAGGCGCCCCCCTTTTTCCCCCCGTGTCTTGGGCCAGTGTTCAAGCAATGACGAAGCGCCCCGACTTGCTTATAAGCCCAACAAGTAATGTTCTACGAGCATCTCTGGCCGAGGCAGCCTCGGCTTAACTCATAGGCCCGGCACTCAGCCATCATAAGCTATTGTCATGCGAGCGTTGGTTGGTTTGAAGAACATGTCGTGGTAGGCTTGGAGGAGTGCCGGGGCGGTCGGTCCCTGTTCAAAGTTTGTCAGCAACGACGGCGAGGCAGGGACGACTTTGAGGGGGAGGTGGAACATTGGGCTAGGCTTCTGGGCTCGCGAGCAACTCCCGGGCAGCTTCCAGAAAGCGCTTCCCAGAACCGTGCGCAGCTCCTCCCCGATTGCTTGTGCTTGCGCGCTCCAGGTCTGCGCCCTGGGGCCGCACACTTGCGGTCTCCCCCCCCCCCCACGTCGGCGGCCTCCAGACGGTGTGGTGGCCACACCTCGCGGTGAGTCGGTGGGGATTCGGGGTCACCGCACGCTTCTGGGACTCGGGCCGTGCTCCTCGGGCGACTTGGGGCCTCCGAGGTCCCAGGGCCGTGCGGTGACGCACCGCGCGGTGAGGTCCTCCGAGCCTTCGAGGTCACCGCACGGCTGTGGGACTCGGGGTCGTCCTCGTCGGGCGGTGGGGGCCTCCAGGCCCGTGCGGCGACGCACCGTGCCGTGAGGCCCTGGGACTCCGAGGCCACCGCACGGTCTAAAGCCCCCCCTGCCTGGGCCGCGCGCATTTGGGGCCCCGCTCCCCTGGCCGCGCTGGAGCAGTGCCACGACCTGCTCCGGTCGGACGCCCGGGCCGCACACAGGGATTTTTCGCCCGCGGGGTTGCGCCAGCAGTTTCGCGACCGGCTCAGCATGGCACCCCGCCCCCATTAGCCGAAAAGGTAGGCGGCAGAAAAGATTTGGCGGCCGAAAACGTGCCCGAAGTTGTGACCGCAAACGTGGTGTGACCGAAAATGTGGCCGAAGTTGAAGACCGTCTTGGATTCAAGCCAAACATTTCGGTCACACTTGAGCGCGGTCGGACAATTTCGGGCGCAAGTTTCGGCCACACCCGGGCAGATGTTCGGGCACAGTTTCGGTCACGACGCTTCCCTGGTAGAAAATAGGCTACGTAAAGATCGGTGCAGCGGGGGGAGGTTACAAGTCTGAAGCCTGTCCCTATTCCTATGCTTGGCATCGCCGTATCTCGATGCCGATCTTAGGGATTCCCTTGGTTTCTGAGGGCGCATCCTTAAGATTGTCATCGCCCTTGGGCTCGTCAATCTTGGGGATAGGGATACGTTCGAGGCTGGTGAAGAGGGTTAGAGATCGCCATGAAAGGAGAGTGTCTCGGGGGAAACGGGTCCTAAGGTTGGTCGCCGTGTCGGGGCTCCCGCCGCATCCGCCCCAGGCCCTGGGACCGTGAGGCGGAAGATCGGCCTTGGGGAAGGCGTCTAGGGTCCCTTTCATGGCGATTTCTCACGGGTCCTGAAGGAACGGACCCTCGATTCCAGGGCACGTTTCTTTCAGGACCTCTGCCAAGAGATGGGAACGGGAACGGGAATGGGAACTAGCGAGGGGAAGGAGGGAGAGGACGGGGGGAGAGAGGAGGACGGACGAAAGAGAAAGGTGGATGAGGAGGACGAGGAGGAGGAGGAGGAGGAGGAGGAGGGAAGAGGGACGTAAGAAGGTAGAGGAGGAGGTTGAAGAGGACGAGGAGCGAGAACCATATTTGAGCCGGCACTGAAAACATCCAGACGTCAAACATCATTGAATCACAGCCACCGAAACCGAACCGGAGGAAGCTTTCACATAGTAGTTTTCCCTCCTCGTTTGGGAGAGCCGCTGGTGTCTAAGCCTGCCCTCCTTCGAAAATGAGGCAAGAAGGAGGCAAATGATGAGGTGAAGGGCACGCGTGGATATCGGCAGCCCCTATGAAGCCTAAAGCAGCCTGCGTGAGGGGGATGGCTGTGAGGGGTTTTGCAGCACCTGGTGGCGTGCTGGGGATTGTGTGTGGTGGTGGTGGTGGTGGTGGTGGCGGTGGTGGTTTGGGTAACGTCGAGAGGGAACTAGTTTCGGCGGGGGCTCGTCGAGTCGGAATCTGCGTGTAACTTCGCTTGCTCCTGCAGCTCGCAGCATCCTCTATCGGGCATATCCCGCTGCTGCTCCACTGCTCAGGCCGTAATGTAGGATTGCAACTGAGCAATCCCCGGGGGCGTCCGTCGCGCAGCAGCGCCCTGGGCGGTGAATGATAGATCGGGTTATGGGCCTTTCGTTGGCCTTGTCGTCATTGCGACTATTTGATCGTTCTCAATCCATTTGTGGATCAGAAACGACATTGCCATACGCGTTGTCTTTTAATCGTCATACTACGGCCCCCGCCGGCGCCCCACTACAGTCGTGCGCCAAGGGTCATTCTTGCCTTGGGTTACTCTGGCGTGTGGCCGAAGGGACCCTTGAATCCCATGGTTCTGGGCATGTTTGTCAGATGTTCTGCGTCCTCGGTCCAAGGGAACTCTTGCTTTGGCGCGTTCTAGGTACCTTGCATCTTTTCACCCTATCGTGATTAGAACTGGGTGAGCGGGTATTCATCTTTGGGTGTAGTTGTGGTTGTTGTTGTTGTTGCCGTTGCTGTTGCTGCTGCTGTTGTTGTTGGTGGTGGTGTTGGTGTTGTTGTTGCATGGTTGTGGTTGTTGTGGTTGTTGTGCTTGTTGTGGTTGTTGTGGTTGGTTTTGTTCTTGTTGTGATTGTTGAAAGTTAAATCCTATACAGTTATTATTGTTTGACCCCTTACAGGCGCACTGGCGCTCTCGCAGAGGCGCCCGCTGCATTTTCATTGAAAAGGAGGCTCACTCTCAAGCGGCTTGGGGGACCGCCAAAACCCGCCCCCCAACAACAACAACGCTCCCGTTCGAGACTTCCTCTTTTTTTGCTCAGAGTTGGTGCTCTTGCTCGCCGCCGAAAGCAGCCGCCTCAACAAAACCAGCGTTCCCGCTCGAGACTTCATCCCGTTTTACCTTGGACAGGCACGCTACTCTTTCTCTCATCGGCGACGCACCCCAGCAACAACAACGCTCCGGCTCGAGACTTCCTCTCTTTTTTACCCACGGCGGTGCTCTTGCTCGCCGCCGACAGCCCCCGTCCCGACAAAACCAACGCCCGTTTTACGCTGGACTGGCGTCCTTCTCTTCTCCTCCTCCTCCCCCTCCTCCTCCTCCTCCTTCTCCTCCTCTTCCTCCTCCTCTTTCTCCTCCCTCCTCCCCCCTCCCTTCTCTTCCTCCCTTTTCCTTCCTCCACCCGTTCCTCTTCTCCATTTTCCCTCCTCTGTCCCTTTTTCCTCCCTCCTCCTCCCTCCTCCTTCTCCTCCCCCCCTCCTCCTCCTCCTCCTCCTCCTCCTCCTCCTCCTCCTCCTCCTCCTCCTCCTCCTCCTCGTCTCCCTCCTCCTCGTCCTCCCTCCCTCCTCCTCCTCCTCCTCCTCCTTTTCCTCCCCCTCCTCCTCCTCCTCTTTTCCTCCTCCTCCCACTCTCCCTCCACCTCCTCCTCCTCCTCTCTCCTCCTCCCTCTCCGTCTCCTCCTATGTGACGAAGTCACCGGCCGAAGAGCTCCTCCCTCTCCTCCTCCTCCTCCTCCTCCTCCTCCTCCTCCTCCCCCTCCTCCTCCTCCTCCTCCTTCCCCCTCCCTCCTCTTCCTCCCCCTTCCCCCCTCCACCCCCTCCTCTTCTCCCTCCTCTCTCTCCTCTCTCCTGGCCCTCTTTCCTCCCTCTTTCCTCCCTCCTCCTGCCTCCTCCTCCCTCCTTCTTTCCCTTTTCGTCCCCCTTGTCTCCTGCCTCCTCCTCCCTCCTCCTCCCTCCTCCCTTCCCCTTCCGCCCTCCCTCGTCGCTCCCGTTTGATACTTTCTCATCTTTTCTTCAATACTGGGGCCCTCGTTTCGGCATCGCTTTTGGGGGGCTTCCAAGAGTCCCCGTTTAATCTTAGTTTTTATATCAAAAATGGAAGAACAGCAAATGTTTTGGATACCATAGATAATGTGGAGGAGGAGACGAAGGAGGACGTATGACTTCCAGGGGCTCCAAGGATCGAGGGTCGAAGGGTTGACTTCAGGGATTCCTTGAGAGGGTGTGGAGGGGCAGGTGGAGGATGCGGGCATGGGGGCGGCAGCGCCTGGGGGCGTGAACGTTCAGGGTCACGCGCCGAATCCGAAGGATGGTGGCGTAATCGTTCGAACGAGGAGTAACAACCGCGTCGTCCCTGGAGGCGCTGCTACTACAACTACTCCTTCTTCCCCCTCCTCCTCTTCCTCCTCCATCCTCCTTCGCCCCTTCTTCATCTCCCTCATCTTCCCTCCCCTCCCCGTCCTCTTCCTCCTCCTCCGAGATGCGGGGCGCGCGCAAGGCGACTGCGATGGCGATGTGCCGTCCGAGCTGTGGATGTCGAAGTTGTTCGGAAGAGGTGGTGGCAATATGTTCTTGAGCGGGAGATCTGGGCGACGGAATATCGGGCCCCGCTTGCCAAAAACAATCCCCGGCGGCGGGGTGCGGCGCCCAGCAGGATGCGCGCGACACGCGGAAGTGTGGCGCATGATGGTGACAGGATTGTTGACGTTGTCGTCGTCGGTGTTGTCGTTGCCGCTGCGGTTGAATATCGCATTTCCAGAAAATGGATTTTGCTGATATCCGGAAGCGGTTCCAGGCGCTCTCGTCTTGACGCTGGCTACATTTACTTGGCAAACGAGGCCCCCGTTCGGGCGTTGGTTTGACTTCAGAAGTGCGCCTTTGGAAACCCAGTTGCGACAACAACGGCGCCCGGTCGATGCTTCCTCACAAATTATTCCGAGACGCCCTGGCCAGAGAGGCTGCCGAACTCAGGAACGGCGCTGTCGCTCGAGACTTCCTTGTAATTCAATCAAGTTGGCGGGGCCCAGCCATACCGACAAATGCTCCTCCTCGATATTTCCCAACGATTTTTTCAGAGAGCCCCCGGCCAGGAAGGCTCCCGAACTCAAGAACGGCGCTTTCGCTCGAGACTTCCCCATGATTCAGTCAACTTGGTGGAGGCCCACATGCGACGACAAGGGCTCCCGTTCGATACATCCTCAAAATGCATTCGCAAAGCGAATTTGCCCACCGTGGTCCCAGCGCGCTGCCCACTAAGGTACCCGACGCACAACCCACTGAGGCCCAGAGTGAGCCCACTGGGACCGCAGCGTGCTGCCCGCATGCCCTCCGGCACAGCCCACATAGGCGCCAAGCGCGCCCACAGAGGCCCCCCGCGCTGCCCACTGAGGCCCCAAGCGCGCCGACGGGGGGCCCAGCGCGCTGCCCACTGAGGCCCCCGCCGCAGCCCACAGAGGCCCCAGCCCGCAGAGGTCCCGAGCGCCCACAGAGGCCCCCGCGCGCTGCCCAATGAGGCCTTATGGCACAGCCCACGGAGGCCCAGACCCCCGCCCCAAGCTTGCCCACAGAGGCCCCAACGCGCTGCCCACGGAGGCCTTCCGTTCTGTAGAGGCCCCCGACACAGCCCACAGAGGCCCTGACTTCCTACAGATGCCCCCGCGCGCTGCCCCATGAGGCCTTCCGGCACAGCCCACAGGCCCCAAGCGCCCACAGAGGCCCCAGCCCGCAGAGGCCCCAAACGCGCCCACAGAGGCTCCAGCGCGCTGCCCACTGAGGCCCCCGACGCAGCCCACAGAGGCCCCAAGCGCGCCCACGGAGGCCCCAACGCGCTGCCCACTGAGGCCCCGACTTCTTACAGAGGCCCCACACGCGACTTAGGAATCGCGCTCTCGTCCTACTCAGGCATCCCGCTTGAATGTCCCACACGCCCAACCCGCCCGGTGGAGGATTTTCCGCCATTCGCCTAGGATTTCTTCGAACGTTCGCACTCTTACTTTCCTGCTCCTCCCGCCTCCCAGACCGTCCCCTCCTTCCGATTCCCTCTCCGTCGTACGTCAACTGATGTTGAACTTTCATTCCGAACGCCCAGCCGAACGCTCCGTTCCTCCGATCCCTTCGTCCTGTCTGTTTGTCTTTTCCCTTTCGTTTCCTTATTTAGGAGCTTCTCCAATTACACGTGGCCAGGAAGGAATATACCCCCCCAGAAAAGGGGGTACGAGCGAAGACGAAGACGGCGGGTATCCAGGGTTTGGGATATGCATATCCGACGAAGGCATCTATACACCACCACCGTGCCAGGCCAGGGCCATCTTTGGCCGTAGGATGGTGTATAGACCCTCCTGGCTCGGCCAGGAGGGCGTATACACAATCCAAGGGCCCAGGATGGTCCTGGCCTGGCACGGTGGTGGTGTATAGATGCTTTCTGTGTAGGATAGTGAATGACACGCGGGCCGGTAGGAGCGAACAGTCTTGAATGATTGTTGTTGTTGGTTTTGTCGTCGTCGTTATTGTTGTTGTTGTTGTTGTTGTTGTTGTTGTTGTTGTTGTTGTTGTTGGTGTTGTTGGTGTTGTCGAATCGGCTTGTGGGCCACAGTGGGTGGCCCCTCGGAGACCAGACGCCGACGGTGGTGCATGCCAACTTGCTTTGATCTTGGGGATGTCTCGTCATCGCATGCAGAAGGTATGGCGATACCAGTGCCGTATTATTTCCGCACTATTTCCTTCCGCCTATTGGGGGGTCCCTCGTTGCCACGTGTGGATTCGCTTCCAAATCCTGGTGAGAACGCACCTTGGGAGAGGTCAGGGCAGTAGCGGCGTCAGACTCTTCCTACTTGACCCAAGAAAGTCGCGGTCGAGAAACATGGTCATAGCCTCTCAGCCGCGATCCCATGGCGGTTACGCGCGGGTGCCCCAATTGGAACGTACACATGCGATTGCGTATCCACAGTATCGTGCCTCGGAATCAGAACCGCCAGAACACGGACATGGAAATGTTCGTCGTTCGTGGTAAAGGGAGTTAGTTGGAGATTTGATGTGCCTTTTTAGTTTTGAGATCCCAAGAGTTCATGATGCGTAACACATTCATGAGGTCGAGCGCATCGTGAATCTAGAATCTACCGAAACTATGGTGGGCCTGAGTGAGGCTATTGTGGATGCTGGGTGTTGCTCTGCGTGAACTCCTGACTCGATTAGCCGGCGCGAGCTTTTTGGAATTCGCGCGTGGAACAGACGCAGTACTGGAGGGCGCGAGCTCCTTCCCGCCTCGGGTCCCAAGCGTTACTCTTTGCTCTATCGCTGCCGCCCTCCAGGCTTGTGTACGGTAGGTTTCTGACGTGCCGACGCGCCGCGGGCGTTCAAGGTTGAACGATTCCAGTCGCCTCCGGCAATATCGAGAAAGACGCCGACCGTTCAAGTTTGAACGACCCAGGTAGTGCCAGAATCCAACGCCGGGGTCGTCGCGACAGCGCGCGCGCAAACCGCTCTGATGCTGTTCCTGGTGTACCCGCCTCCCGCCCTATCCCCCCGCAGTCCCCCTGATCTACACCGCGGCCCAAGCGGGCGGGGACAAGGAGGACGTGAAGGGGCCCATGATCACCAACGAGGAGGGGGGGCACGATGGTCAGTGCCGTCCGACCGATCCCCATCCCCACTGAGCCGTGGTATCTGAATTCCACCATCTAGGCCTCCCAAATGGGGTCCGAGTAGATGGGGTCGCAGGATCGCTTTGCATTACCAATCCATTGTTAATGCGACCCCTCGATGTGGAGCCCGGTTTTCTTCACGCTGGCGTCGCCGATGCAGCGCCGACGTGGCCGATGCATCGGCGATGCATCGACGATGCGGCGCGGTTCTCCGATCCCACCTATTGCAACCCCATCTGGGAGGCATTCTCCGACCCCATCTACTCCAACCCTTCACGGTGCGTTTCCTGGCGCAGCCGACCAGCTGGCTGTTTCGGAAACCGACCTTGAAGCAGTTTGCGCAGTGACATGTCAGTCCCACCAGCCCCCCTTATAAGGTTGGGATAGGCCTCGCGAAACCCAAATGGAACATAATGTGGCGCGTTCCAGACATGGCTTCGACTTCGAAGAATCGAAAGAGCTGACACCTCTCCCGACGGATGGCATCGGACGGGCGGCGGAAACCGGCGGACGTAAAACGGTGTTGGCGAAAGATTGGCGGATGAGTTGTGTTCTTTTTTTTTTTGAAGGCCAACACAGCAAGTTCTCAGAGGTTTGTTCGAAGGAGTCCCAGAATACAGCCAGACACAGTGTATCTTTGCATTCAAAAGGTACGCGTGGTGTTTTCGCACAGTCGGAAACAGAGGTGTCGTTCGTGACGGCGTCGGCCTGCCCCGTGTGGTTGTTTGTGGCAGATCCTGAAAAAGATCGCCAACCATACGCCGAAACGCTGGAGACGGACTGGACCAGGGGTGCCCGAAAGAGTGGGCGTATTCAGTCCTAGACCAGAAAGGAAACCAAAAAAAATTGCGCAGTCAACTGCTTCTCGGCGACCCTGGCGCGGCCTAGCCGTTGCCAGGCGAGCCTGAGGCGGGTGTACAACAAATGCTTTGGATGTTGCAGTGATGCCGATATGTTTGGCAATTGCCTGGTTATCAGCCGAACCTATTCTAACAGTCAGACGGGTAGCAATTTTGGTTTTACCAAAAATGGAATTTCGCAGGTGCGCTCTGATTGTCCACGAGCGCCTAACGCAGGGGCCAGATTGCTCACACCCATGGGCCGCGGTTAGAATCCGCTCAAGGACAAAAAGGGGCAGGCACCCTGCTTGGCCGCGGTTGCCGGCGGTGTTACGACAGAGTATACTCGGACCCGACGTGGCGTGCGGCCACGGCTCCTGTGCTGCGGTTGGGCAATGAGGTCTGGCTCGCGGAGGCCAGGCTTTTTCACGGGTTTGCTGTCCTTGGCCGAGCTCAGAGATGGGTGGACGGCTGTTTGGGCCAGACAGACAACCACGTGGGCCACGGTTTCGGGCCCGATCAGCGCTATGAGGCTCGCGCTTCTGAGACTGGGCTGACAGATGCCAAACCGTTTTGGCAATTTTTGATGACAGGGGCTATTCGATCGAGCTCGGGGTCTCCTCCTTTGCGTTGTTGGCCGTTCACTGCCGCGAGGCCATGCTTCGCTCGCTGGAACGGAACTTGGGGGAGAAATGGGATGTTGGAGCTCGGTTGTGCTTCGATGTCCCCGAAGCCGCCCTTTCCTCCAAAGGCTTCTCCATGAAGGGATCGGCACGGTTCGGTTCGGTCTGGTTCTGCAGCCGGGTCGGTTTTGCTTGGCCGGTTCGGCTTGGGCCTGCCGCCGGTTCGGTTCGGTTCCGGTTTTCGCGCGGTTGGGTCCGACCGTTTCGGTTCGGTTCGAGTGGCCGCTCCGGTTCGGTTCGGCCCGACTGGTCAGGTGCGACGTTGGGCGCCCCGTCTGCGTAAGCGACGACCCAGAGTTTGAAGAAAAGGGAGGGAGGATGGGGGCGGAGGAGGAGGAGGAGGAGGAGGAGGAGGAGGAGGAGGAGGAGGAGGAGGAGGAGGAGGAGGAGGGAGGCGGAGGAGGCGGAGGAGGGAGGAGGAGGACGACGAGGAGGAGAAGAAGGAGGAGGACGAGGAGGAGAAACGTGGAGGCGTGGAGGCGCGAGGCCCTCCAGCGACCTGCCCCGACGGGGGTCCAGCCCCGAAGGGGGTCGCAGCCCCGAGGGGGGTCGCAGCCCCGGGGTCCTTGGGTCCCGGGGTCCCGGGGGTCCTTGGGTCCCGGGGATCCTTGGGTCCCGGGGGTCCTTGGGTCCCGGGGGTCCTTGGGTCCCGGGGTCCCGCGGTCTGGGGGTCCTGGGTCCTGGGGCCCTGGGCCCCGGGGGTCCTTGCCAAGGACCCCGGGGGGAGGAGGAGGAGGAGGAGGAGGAGGAGGATGAGGACGGGGAGGGGCAGGGGGAGGGGGAGGGGGGGGGAGGAGGAGGAGGAGGAGGAGGAGAAGGAGGAGGAGGAGGAGGAGGAGGATGATGAGGAGGAGGAAGCGGAGGAGGAGGAGGAGGAGGAGGAGGAGGAGGAGGAGGAGGAGAAGGAGGAAGAGGAGGAGGGGTCGTGGGAATCTTCGGGAGGTTCTGGGGTCATCGGGGTCCCGGAATCCTGGGGGTCATCGGGGTCCTGGGGTCCGGACCTGAGGGGAAAGGGGTTCGGTTCGGTTCCTGTCGGTTCGGTTCAAGGGCCGCCCGGTTCTGGTTCGGTTCCGGTTCTGGTTCGGTTCGGTCCTCGCCGGTTCGGTTCTGAATGAATTCGGTTCGGTCCGGTTCGGTTTTCTACGTTCCTGGTTTTGGACCGGTTCGGTCCGGTTCGGTCACGGTTCTCGGTTCTCGGTTCGGTGCGGTCCCTTCATGTTTCGCGCCCAGTGAACAAGGGATGAGATAGAGCCCTCGCCTGTAATGTTATCTGGACGCCCGACCGTGCGATCGCTTGCGGTTGCGTCATTAGTGACGAGTGTGTGCACTGCGGTGGTAAGGACTCGCTCCGCCATAGGCTCTGGGTCTGCCCTCACTGTGCTGATGATAGAGCCGAGGTTGCGGAAGCTTCGGTCATCGCCTCAGCTTTGGACTCTGAGGCGGAAAGCTACTCGGCCAACCTGTTTTGTCATGGGGCTTTCTTCGCCCATCCCGCCGATTACCTCCCTAGGCCCTGCCGTGAAGGGGCTGTCCAGTTTGTTTGGCACAATGATGTTTTGGCCGGCCCTCAGGGGCCAGTGGAGCCCAGGGAAGGGGACATCTGGGGTCACTTTTTCCTCGACGGTTCCTGCAACAGGCACATTATTAGCGAGCTTCGCAGAGCTGGTTGGGCCATCGCCATGCATGATGGCACTGGCGCTTTGTTGGGCGAAGTCCGTGGGCCTGTCTGGGCTCAGTATCCTCAGACTCCCCGGGCTGGTGAATTGTTTGCTAGAGGTACGGTTGGCACGCTCGCCAAATTCAATTCCGTCCTTTATAGCGACTGCTTAAATGTGGCCAAACACTCAGATCTCCCTCTTCCCGATCGTTTGTCGGGAAAACGCGTGCACAGCGGCATCAGAACGGAAACCAATGCGAGGGAACGTTCCCAAATAGGTGAAGTACTTCATGTCAAGGCCCACCAAGACTTGGAATAACCAGGTTTGGGTGAGCGAGAGTTTTTGATCGTAAATGTAACGACGACGCTGACGCTTCTGCCAAACATGCCACCAGCTTCCACCCCGCGGAATGGGGGGATATGGAAGCTGTTGACAGGACGGTAGCCATTGCTAAGACTGTCTGTAAACTAGCCGCCAAAATTTTGCTGATGTAGCCGCGGTTAGATGTCACTGATGCTCCCAGAGTGCCCGGCGCCCCTCCCTGCGTGCCCCATGGCAAGCCTGGCCATGGTTGGGTTGAATGGTCTGGATTTTGGAGGTGCCGAGTTTGTTTGCTCGGTAGCAGGAGTGTTGACTTGTTTGCCCCAGGAGCGCGCCCAGGTTGTGGCGTGCTGGGCGAAGTAGTGCTCCTAGGTCTTGGTCGCAAAGTTTTGGCTTTCCCGTGCCCAGATGGGCCCCGCCTGTTTGTTTGTATGGGTGCAGGTTTCACAGTCCTGGGGCCAGGATTGGCCTCGGTAAGTTGCGCAGCGGTTGCCTGCCCAGACACGCCGAATATGCTTGGAGAGACTTGTAGAACAAAAGAGAGCACCCGAACCCCCGACGGAAGTCCGCGGTGGTCGATGTCTCTGCTGTCGCTGGCCTCTTCGGCTCAGCGTCGAAGAGCTTTGCCGCGAGGTCTTTCGCTACCGAGGAGGAGGAGGAGGAGGAGGAGGAGGAGGAGGAGGAGGAGGAGGAGGAGGAGGAGGAGGCCCCCGCCCCCTCGGTTGATCCCCCCCCCTGCGCGGTGGAGGAGGATGCTCGCGACAGGCGTCGGGCGGCAGCTGCCCAGCGTCTGCTCGCGGCCGCCCGCGCGAATGCCCAGTCCTCTGAGCCCGCCGATCTTCGGAGCGACGGAGCGATGGTTCGGCCGCTGCCTCGAGGACGGGCTCTTCTTTTTGCCCTTACTAGGGCCAGTCGGCTCTCCAGGCCGCCTCTTCCTTCTTCAGGATGGCCCTTGTGTCGGCCGTGCGCGAGCCTCGTGCTCGCTCGTTTTTCATCCTCTGTTTAATCTGGGCTGAGAGAGGTCCAGCAGGTCGCCCTGCTGACTTTCGCGCCCTCACTGGCGCTCCGATCCAAGCGACCACCGGCCCTCGCGAACTCACTGCGGGGCTTCAGCAGGCGACGGGGCTGGAGCGGCAGCCAGGGCAGGGGCAACCAGAGACGCGATGGTCATGGTCAGTGGCGGTTGGATGACAGGACGGGGGAGTATTGTTGGGGCGGTACCCCAATCTGCCCCTGCACGTCTCGGGGCCGCGCCCCGCGCGCGCTGGCGCGCGATATGGGCTGGGCGCTGGGCGGCGGGCGCCATCGCGCCAATCCCAACGAGGGTGGGAGATGCCGAGGGGCCTTGGTTGCCTTGGTTCGCCCCGAAGAGTCGCGGCGGGGGCGCCCCCTTTTCTTCCGCTGGCACTGCGAAACTTCCGCAGGGGTTTGAGCCGTTGGGGGCCCGAAGTGGCCTTGCGGAGCCGTTGGGGGCCGCGGGTGAAGTCTGCCCTTCGCTCTCGGGGCATGCCGAAGCAGTTGGGCGCGCCCCGCCTCTTTTGGTCGGGGCGTTAGCCGACGTGCTGACGCCCGCCCGCGCGCGGCAGTGCCGCGCCGGGAGGCCGCGGGGGGAGTCGTTGCTAACGCCCCCCCTCGCTCAGTTGATATCCCCTGCCTCTTCCCTCCAAATGAGGATCGGCGGGGCTACATGAGCGGAGAGACGGATATTTCTCCGCAGCTATATTTGCATCGACAGGGGGCGCGCGCGCGTCCTTCATCCTGCTTTCTTCGGCTGGCCGGCCGGCTTGCGCATGCAAAGATACATGCGCTGTTTAAATTGGTTTTAAGTTATGACTAAGAGTGCATCGGCTGTCCGTCGGGACCTCACAGCTTCTTTTTGAGCAAGATGTACACACATATCCTGGTCAAGAACATCATGGCACGATTAACCTAACAAAGATATTGCCTGAGTTCGCGATGAATAGGCAAAACACCTCATTGGCTCTCGAGCGATAGCGATGCTTTCGGGTAAAGGTTTGCCGAGGCCATGCCAGTGGGGATATGGATCACGTAAACGGCTTCAGATGGTGGTAGTGGAGGTTTTGCAATGATAATGAACAGACGCGGCGTCAGGAGTGACAGAAGCAATATTGAAGTAAGCCGCCGTGTTCAGTATGCGTTTCGCATGCCAGTTTGCTTACAGCGCAAACTTCCAACGATCGCCATGCTTGCGTTCCGTGGGCCAGCCGCCATGCAACAGTTGAGCAGGCGCGTCCAGATGCTTCCTGTTTCACTCACGCCAGTCAAGTGCTTCCGAGCGACTGACTTTTCCGACTTGCAGACGTGTCCGATAATATTCAGTTCGCCATTTCCACCTGAACGTTGGTGAAGTCCATATATTGTATGTGTGGTTTCCTTCTCTGTCGCTCTCTCTCTCTCTCTCTCTTTCTCTTGTTGTCTCTTGTTCTAACTCCCTCTCTCTCCCTCGCTCTCTATCGTTCTATATACAGCACTCCCCATTCAGATAACATGCAGTTTTGGTGGGATGTACAGGGAGGAGAGGAGCAAGGCAGAGCCAGAGGCAAAAACAGAGGCAGAAATTGAGACAAGTCCTTTGAAACCGAGAGACATTTGCAGATACAGACTCCTCATTTACCTCCTCCTCCTCCTCCCCCGCGTCCCCCTCCTCTTCCTCCTCCTCCTCCTCCTCCTCCTCCTCCTCACCGACGCCCCGGCACCCGCCCACCTTTTGGGGCGAGTGGCCGCCGGGGCCTGGCGGCGTGTGAGGTGTCCGCGACAATTAGAGCACGAAATTACTTCCCAGGGAGCCCAACGCCTCCAGGACGCCAGGGGGCTCCCAGGGGTACCGCAACACACACGAATTCAAACCAAACTGCTGCAGCAGGGGCGGCCCGGCGAGGGAAAGGGAGGGGAAGGGCAAGGGGCTGGGGGGCGGGGGCCGTTGCGGTGGGCGGGCGGGCAGTCGGGGTGGCCGCGGAAGCCTTGGTCGTGGTGGTCGAGCTGGTAGTGGTCGAGCTGCTGGTGGTCGTGGTGGTCGTGGTGGCCGTGGTGGTCGTGGTGGTCGTGGTGTTAGTGCTGGCGACCGGCCTGGTGGTGGCCGTGGTGCTGGCGGTGATCAGTGGTCGTTGGTGGTCGTGGTGGTCGTGGCGTTCGTGGCCGTGGCGGTCCTGGCGGTCCAGCTGGTGGTGGTCGTGGTGGTCGTGGTGGATTTTGGCAGGCCCGACCCGATTATATCCCAATTTCTGACGACACGATAGGACCCGATGGTTACATTGCGCTGTTGTGGATCCTGTCACAGCCAATCCGGCTCAATGTCGACTCCGTGCCGATGCAGGCAGATCCGACGCACACTTCGGTTGGGCCCGATCTCCCGATTCGATGCTGACTGGTCCTGCCTTCCCTCCGCTTCCTCCCTCTCGGCGGCGAGCCCAGGGGGGAGTGAGAAGGGGCGGGCCTTCTCAGAGGGTTCGGAAGTTCCCAGGCAGTCTGAGAAGTTCTCTAGACACAGACAACTTCACAAAAGGCGGGAGGGCCTACGAGAAGTCCCGCATCCTTCTGAGAGGGCCGTCTCCTTCTCGCCCCCGCCCCTTCGCTCGCCGCCGATCCTCCCTCCTCAACCCCGCCCTGGGCTTGTGCCTGCAGGGTGCCTGCAGGGTGCCGACCAGGCGCGGCCATGGTTGTTCCCCACCCTCGGGGTAGCTTTGCGGCCGCCGCGCAGCGAAGGGGTCATCGGGGAAACTATTCCGTCAGGAGCAAGGACGGGGGAAACTGTTATCCTCCTCCTCCTTTCCCTCATCCTCCTCCTCCTCCTCCTCCTCCTCCTCCCTCCTCCCTCCTCTGCTTCTCGCCCTTCGAGAGGCGGAAATGGAGCCCTCTTCGTCCTCGCTGGGCCCTCCCGGGCGGGGGGATGCGTTTCGTCGCCGCTGCTGGGCGCGGCTCGAAGGAGTGGTGCGCGTGGACCCCGGGAAAAGTCCAGGGACCGATTTTGAGAGTGCAGTTGGGCCGAGGTATAACAAGATCAGTTCGTGGAGGGTACCCGGGTGCTCTTCGTGTTTGTTGGATGTTTTTGTGCATCCTTCGAAGAAGGAAAAACGGCCAGAAACATAAACGTTTGGCGTTCCGCGCGGATTTCTTGGATTCGCGTTGTGCCCACCGGCGGCGCCTCCAGCGCCGCCCCTGACGCGCTCCGCGCGCCAAGGAGGGGGGTGGGTCCAGCGCAGATCCAAGAGCGCCGAAAGTTCATGTTTATGTTCTTCTTTCTTCGTCTGTATTAGATCGGGGTCGGCTCGGGGAGTGTACCCTGGTGGTCTTCGTGTTTGTTGGATGCTTGTGTGCATCCTGCGTAGGGTACACCCGACTGTAGGGGGGGAGGCATCGATCCCACATCGCCCACTCGTCGCCGACAGGGGCCCGACAGCCCACCCAGCCCAGGAACGTGCGGAGTTTCACGATCGGGGGCCCATTGCCGATCCATCGGCGATGTATCGCCGATCCTGGGCCGATGTGTCCCCCCCACCCTCTATGGCAGTCCCCCCCCCCTCAGTCTTGGAGCCCAGGCTTTCCCCGGGGGTCAGCTCTGCATCCCCAGGCGTTCTGGGACGGCCCCAGGACCTCGTGGAGGGCCCAAGGGGGCCCGAACAGTGCCAAAAGACTCCCAGAGGGGCCCGAGGGCGGCCAGCACCTCCCTGGGCCCCTCGTCGAACACACGGCCAGAGCGGCGAGCGGCACCCCGGGGAACCTCCAGGAACACCACGGGGGCCGAGAGGCGGCGAAGACCTGCCAGGATGTCCTGTCTGTTCGAGGCGGGACGGGGACAGCGGACGGCCCACGGCCTCCAAAACAACGCACGGCAGCGCGGAGGACGGCGCAGCTGCCCTTGCACGGAGGCATCACGGCGGCCCACGGCCGACGGCGGGAGGGCGCCGGCGGCGGCGACGACGCCGCAGGGCGGGCGGGCGGGCTGCGGCAGGTGTTCTTCGACGTGTCCATCGGCGGAGAGGCAGCGGGCCGCATCGTCATTGGCCTCTACGGCAAGAAGGCGCCCCCCGGGGAGCCGCCTCGCCGTCCGCCGCCGCTCGCTTCCGCTTCGTGCAGGCACGTCTCTCGTGTCGTTGCAGGTTCCTGGAGGTGTGCCTGCCGTCTGCCTCGCCACGTTTCGGCCATGTGTCGTGGAGTGCTGGGCAGGCTTCGGGCCCTGGGCAGCCACGCGCGTGCCCATGATGAGAAAAGCTGGTCCAGGTGGGAGCGAGCCTCCCGAGGGTCCAGGGCTCGCTGCCCTCGGGACCCGTTTCTTTCATGTCAACCGTTGCCGTCGTTGTCGTCATCGTTGTTGTCATGATCGTCTAAAGTTTGTTTTGTTAAGGTGTTGCCATTCAGATGACCTCCGTAAAGATGCGGGGTCATCTTCACAGACATTGGCGCGTAAGTTGCCCGCGTAGAGTCGCGCGTAAGTGCCGCCGATTCAACGCGGTGTGCCTCGCTGGCGATCCAAGTAAGTCGCCGCGAAAGGTCGCGACTCTCTCTCGCATAAGACCTTACCCTTAGGCGCTCAAATGATCTCAACGTGCCTTGCGCACTCGGCTGCACCTGTGCGCAGCGCCCTCCGCCGTCTCCGCTCCCGCTGCCACTGGACGCAGTATGGAGCGCAATGAATTCGTGACTGCCAAGGTGCTGTGTCGCAGCTTCCTGCCGTCGTGATCGGGCCTCTTGCTGCGCCTCGCGATAAAGAGGCTGCAACACACGCAGCGTGCTCCCTTCTCGCTGTCTGTCCCGCTCAGGCTCTTCAGACAGTCAAGGGCTCGGGACGATCCAAGTGAGGACGGAAAGAATGGATGTGAAGACGGACATGAGTCTTTGTCCATTCTGAACAGGACTCGTTGTCGACGTCGCCTCGGACGCTACCCATTTGAGACAGAAGGCCGCTTGCCCAACAGCGGCCGCTGTCGATGCTTGACAACATTTGTTGTTGGGCATCGTCCAATTTTTCTCGTACGGCGACCGAGGGACAAGATCGAGGTAGGTCCAGGGAGGGTACCGTGATGGTCTCTGCGTTTGTTGGATGTTTTTGTGCATTTTGGGGGATGGTTACCCTCGAGTGATCGAATGGTTTCGGGGTGTTTTGGCCTGCCGAGGGTCTCATGCTCTTGAAGGGTGCTCTTCTGTCCCGGGTCCGACCGTACCCATGTCGGGCTTCCAGGGACGAGGGGGCAAAGAACCGTATAGTATAACCTGCTCTGCCATCGGGGACGCCTGCACCCCCGGCGAGCCATTCTGCGCCCGCGGAGTCGTAGGTTTGGATCTTGCAGCATGTTTCTTTTTAACTCACGGGCACGGGAGAGTGGTTGCTCACGGCTCACACGAGCGTACGTCAAGAGGCTCAGTTCATGAATCGCATGCGTGTGCAGTGCCCAGCATTCACAGAACGCCTGCGACGCCTTTTTCGACAGTCTGAGTGACGATTCGAACCCCCACTGCGTGGCACTGGATCAGGACGTTTCAGCTCTCCAACTTCAAACGGGGCACCAAAGCTATGGTGCTCATTCACTGTTACTGTCTGTTTTGGGAGGCTTGGTACAGGGCCCGGTATGCGCGCTCCGACAGACTTCGACTCCCACCGCGCGCTCACGGGCACGCCCCCCGTAGGTCCGGACGTTCGCAGTTGAAGACTCGAGAAGCCCGCCATCTTGCATTTGTTGATCAAGAAAGATCTGGCCAATGTGTTTCCTTCGACCTCGCACGGTAAGCTTGCGAGGGCTCTCACGCAGGTGGTGCCGCCCCATCAGGACAGGGCTTTCTTCTACCAGCGCAACGAGGAGTCTGCGATGGAAATTCCGTCGGGAGAGGGCGCCGGGCATTTTCAACAACGACACGGATTTGCGATGGGGGGCGGGAACGTTTGCGATCTATTCGTGCGCAGTTTTCTGCGACCAGCAGAAAGGTTCCAAGACACGCTGTCCTTGAAATCCGATCTTGTGAAGTTCGAGGATCTCGACGTACTGGTTGACGGACGAGATGCACGACGCTTTGGTACCAGACTATGCTATCGGCATACATCAGACGATCCCACTCAGCGCCCGAACCCAACCGACGCTCGGAATCGTTTTCTGGACCCGAATTTGATCCAGGATTCGGAGCTCGCGGAGGGAGAGGCTACAAAACCCTGAAAAAGAAACGCGCATGCCAGTGATGTCGGGCCCTGGGGCCTTCACGACCAACTCTTTTGTCTAGGTGTGTGCCTGTGCCTGTGCCTGGTGCGATCGCTGCCGAGAGCCTGTACCTCGGCGGTAATTATGGAACAATCGACGGAGAGAATAGGGGTGGAAATACGACGACTATTGGGAGCTACGAGAGCTGCATGGCGACGGACGGGACGGGATTGGGAGATGACGCGTTCGCTCCGACTGAAGCGAATACCTTTCAAGGGTGTGATTGTGTTTGCTGCGTACTTAGGCTTTGGGTCTTACCTGCTGGGCCAACAAGGCATTCGACGGACTTTCGACGGCTGGGTGCCGTCATCATTGGCTTCGCTCGCGCGGTGCTCCGCGATCACAGGCCTGTTTTCGCAGACGATGCACCAGAGGGGGCGCGCACAAAGTATCGTTCGCTGCCCGAGGCCACTGCATGGAAACACATGCGAATTACCAACACCAGAGCTGAATGACTCGCCCGTGGGCTCCGCCAGTTGCAACGCTACGCCGGGTACCCCGACTACAGCCGACAGCCCCTGGTCACGCGTTTCGGGGCTTTGGACGGCCTTGAGGAGGCCCCAGCCTTCATGGGCGACGGTTCGGTGAGCTCGACAGCCAACCCCTTGGCCCAACATGTAAAACCTGCAGGCTCTCAGGTACCTCAAAGGGGGGCCCTGAGTTCTTGGAGACGCACTCAGCTCTGATGATCTTTGGGAACGACATTGCCGCTAGGGGGCTCGCGAGGTTCAATCCCGATTTGTTCCGCAAGGTCTCTGCTCTTCGGGGACCCCCAAGTGGCTCTTTTCTTCGCCCACCTGATTAAGGATCCAACGAGGCTCATGTATGTGACCTCCCTTAAGCTACGAGTGCCAGCGCAATGTTTGGTGGTCACACACCATTACCTGCACTGTATGCCGTCGTTCAAGAGTGCGGCGACGGCAAGAAGACACGCAGCACAACCACTCATGTCCAACACCAGTTAGAAACTGATGACCCCCCTCCCCCCTCCCCGGGATCCCGACTGCCATTACTTCGCCGCCGAAAAAATATATGTTGACTTGTCCCCCCTGGAAGATCCCACGGGGACCGAGAGATGCGATTCATACATGCACACATGTATGCTGGTATGCATAAATGTGGATGTGTATACACACGCACGCACGCGCATGCATTGGTATATGCGCATGAAATGGATGCGTGCAGATGTGCAGGCTACATCGGTCGACGAGTAGGTAGGTTTCGTCTTACTAGGACACTGTGCGCACGCACGCGCGCGCGACTGCGAGGCTGAATGCCTTACGTTTGGATTCACAAGTGGTTTTTCTCACGCGGTTTCGGGGGTGACACGGGTCACCCGTTGTTTTGGTGAGGCTGAATGGCTTACTTCCTCAATCTGGAATTGCCTCTTTAGGGGTCCTAGCGGTTTCATGTGGTTCGGTGAGGTGTGACGACGATTTCGGCGGCACGCCCGGGTGCCTGGGTACCCAGGTGCCCAGGCGTTGGGGTGCCCGGTCGCCCTGTAGCCGTATAGACCGCCTTATAGCCTTATAGCCCTATAGCTCTATAGCCCTATAGCCCTATAGTCTTATAACCCTGTAGCCCGAATAGCCCAATTGCCCTATAGCCTAATAGCCCCATAACCCTACAGCCTTCCAGCCTTATAGCCCTATAGCCCGATTGCCCGATAGCCCGGTAGCCCGTCAGCCCGATAGGCCTGTAGCCCCACAGCCCTATAGCCTTGTAGCCCCATAGCCCTGTATAGCTGGGGCCCTATAGCCCTATAGCCTTGAATAGATTATGATTGGGGCTCTTCTCTGGTATCATGTTGGCTCCCAAAATCCGAAAGTTACAAGTGGTTTTGCACGCATGGATTCGGATGTGACACGTGTCACCCGCTGTTTGCTGTAAAGCTGAATATCATTATATTAGCCCCCATAATCCCAGAATGACACTTGATTTTTATCATTCCGGGGGTGACGCGTGTCGCCCGTTTTTTTTGTTACGTTATATAGGTTTATGTTGGACGCGGAGCGCCACGGCGGTCGCGGGGACGTCCCCAGCGGTCCAGTTTGCCCCGCCGCCTGTTTTTTTGTATGCGCACTACAGCGTTAGGAAATACGATTGGTTTAAAAGGTCCCCGCATATTAGTTTCGACTCATTTTTAGACGCTACGCACAGGCGAGTGTCGCTGCGGTTGAAGCCCGCATGCGTCAGAACCCATCGCCCCCTCGGACCTGCACTGCCCTTCCTGCCTCGATGTTGAGACCACGCCTGCGTACACGTCGATCTTGCGCCGCCTGGCTTAAGGTGCGCATCGCCGCTCGAGCCCTTAGCAGAACCCCAGAAACACCTCAGAGACGTTCGCGCCCCTCCCGCCCCCGAGGTAGTCTACTACGGCAAGCCATCAGATGGACCTGGCCCAGCGTGCCCTCAGCCCAGAGGCAGGCGAGCGCGCCAGAGCGCTGCGCTCGAGGGGCGGAGAGCGCGGAGCTCCGCGCCGAAGGCGCCCGATGGCCCGCGGCCCGCAGCAGCCCGCGGCAGGGGGCGATGCCGTGGGCCCAACGGCCGCGGCTGCCGCCGCGGTTCGAGGCGGCCAGGCGCCACGGTAGCCGCAGCAGCAGCAGCAGGAACCCACAGGAAATGTCGGCCAGGCTCTCTCGAGGGCCTTCGACGGCGCAGACAAAATCTGCGGTTTACAGGGGGCCCACTCCATGCGGCTACAGGACACGCTGGTGCCGATAGAGTTGATCCAGGCGCTCTTTCCCATAGTCATGCGCAACTGTTTTTTCAACGCGCAGAGGGTTGTTACGCTGGGGTCGACGGCCTTTTAGATTGGTAACTGGAAGGCGTCCACAAGGTGTGCCAATACTATGTGCATGATGCGCAGAGACTGCGCCAAGATAGCAGACAAGCTCTACGAGACGGACTCCGAGTCGAGGACCTCGAGAACTTGGGAGTGCCGCATCCGCACCTGCGGCGGGCGCTCGTCGGGGCATTGGTACAGCGGAGCGACAAAGTGGGGGGCGCCGACGGCAGCCTCCATCACGGAGTACTTGGATCGAGTCCGAGGGGATGCGGAGATGACCAACGATGCGTTCGTGAGCCAGGTGAAGTATTGTCGCGAGAGCTACACCCGCGATCGCGCCACGATGAAGATCCTCCTGGAAGCCAGCGGAACAGGTGTCCAGACAGCGGTGTTCGCGGCCCTTGTCCAGCTGGGCGCGAGCATCAGGAAAGGCACCCCGTCCAAGTCGCACCAGGAACGCCCATTGCAGCTGGCCCTAGATGAGCTAAGACGACATTTGAGCAGAGTGATTCCTAGAGGCGCCACGATCTCCTCCACTCTTCTTCCCCCCCCGCGTATCAGCTCGTTGTTTGAGCCCTCGTCCCGTCGCTCCTGCTTGACCTCTTTTCCTCCCCGGATGATGCGATCTACCGGCTGACTCAGGGGCCCCAGCGTCGAGCCAGAAGTTCATGCCCTTCTGGCCGCCGCCTGGGGACCCTTTTATGTTTTTGTTTTTCAGGTTGCTTCGCTGCATTGTTTTGAAGCCAGAACTTGTCTTTAGCCTGATGAAGAGAGTCTGTGGCCGCACGGTTTTATCGAGGGTTGCGCGGCTTGGCCCCAGGGATATCTCCATTCCTGGCTAGCCGAAGGCGCACCTGACCCCCCCCCGTGAGAATGCGCTGGTAACAGTAGCGCAGTCTAGGCTCTTGAGCCGGTGTGGGTTCCTCTTCGAGTGCCCCACGACACACGTGGAATTGCGAAGCTCCGCCGCAGCCGCCTTGCGTCGCTTCCTCCCCTCTACTCTTTCGACTCATTCATACTCCCTGCAATCCACCGTGCCCCCCTCTTTATCAACGCAGCCCCTCTGCGGCGCAGACCGCGGTGCAATCCCTCCTCCCTCGGCGCGAGCGTCGCGAACGGGCGTTGGATGCCGCAGAAAGGGGCCGCGCGGTCTAGGTGTAGTGGCCAGAAGTGCCAGCTGCTCGTCCAGACTGACGCCGCTGGGAACGCGCAACCTCGGCGCAGGAGACGGTCGGATCCGCTTCGACCTACCTGCTGCAACTGTGCCGTCCCGCCAATCATTCGCCATGAAGGAACAGGCCCCTGATGGAACGCATCTTTTTCAGGTATTTCGCAGTTTTGGGGTTGTGGGTGGCCTGCCAGGCCCCTGGGACCTTCAACAAAATGGTTCGGGATGAAGAGCTAGTCCTTGAGGAAATGTCTCAGTGTCATGTGCCCGTTTCCCCAGGACACCTGTTCTTCCCTTCGTGACATAGCGACCCCCCTCGGGGAGGGCGCTATCACCCGCGCGCGCTATCAGTCGCCCAGCGTCCTTCGCATCTGCGTTGCCATGCTTACGCGCACCATGTTCCTTGCGTAGCCGTCATTCATCGTGGGCGGGAACAATAAAGCACGGCCCCGCGGGCCGGGCCCCTGAGCCGCGACCCCAGAAGGCGTTTTTCGCGGATGCCCTGTGCGGACCGTATCCATGCGACAACGTATCCACGGGATCGCCGACCGGCGTGCAGACCCCGCAACCGTGCATGTGGATACGCTAGCCGCTCGCGAATTCATGCGCGCCCAGAAGCACACGCGGCGATCCCTGGGCGAAAGTGAAAGAGGATGGCCTTGTCAGAAGGCGGCGGGTTCTTTCGAAAGCCTCCGGGCCTCCGGGAAACCGCCAATGGCATCGGAGAAGACTTGCGGGGCGCCCTTGGGGGCGCGAGGGCTTCCAAGAAACCCCGCCGCGCTCTGAGAAGGCGTTGCTCCTCTCACCTCCACCCTGGGCCCGCCGCCGAAGGGAGTAGAGGGCGCGCCAGGTGCCCAAGACGGCGGAGAACTTCCGGGCCCTCTGCACGGGCGAGAAGGGTTTCGGGCACGCCGCCGCACCGGGGCGGGCTGGCTTCCCCCCCACCTTGCAGGGGCCTCTTCGGCTCGGTCGGCACAGGAAGGCGGGTATCTTGGCATCGCTTGGACGTGAGCATGTTTTCCTGGGCGAAGATCATCGACGAACATCTTGGATCATCGAGCAGAGCAAACACGTTCGAAAACGACAAGTGCACGGGGAATGGACGTCCGAGCGATGACAAGGTGGGGACGAAGGCCGTCGGCATCTGCGCGGGCCACACTTTTGGGTCAGATTTGCTCGTTGTCTTTGCCGCCCCCCCCTTCCCTTTCCCCTCCTGCGCACTCCCCTCGGTGTGTTCCAGCTTCTCTTGCTTCGGGAGCCATGAGACGGGGGTCAGTGCAGACGGGGGTTAGCCAGGGCGCCGGGCCCGGGTCAGTAGATCCCCGATTGCCCCTGTGGCTCCTCGCCCATCCTCTTCCTACTCCTACTCCTGCTCCCCCCCTCCACTGTACAGAGGCCCCTCTCGCACAGCAACCGTTTGGTCACATCCTGGAGCCGCTATTGGGGGATCCAGGAGGCCCCAGAAGGCGGATATAACAGGGTCCATCGCAAATGGAAGAGATGGGCAGGGTCAACTTCCGACCCAAGAAATCTGCGCGGAGCTCCGACTGATTCTGTGTGTGCTGTATTTTCTTCCCCGAGTAACGGTAGCAGGCGCAAGGCGGAGAAGGAGGATGGGATGAGATGACGCAGGTGGTGAGCCACGCACGTTGTGCAATCTGATTTGCGTCGGGCTCACCCTCGACTCGCTCGCGAGCGCACAGGCGTGTCGCAGCATGTCGCCCCCTATATGCTCTCAGGTACAAGGGCTCCAAGTTCCACCGGGTCATCAAGGACAGGGTTCTGTCCCGCGCGTTTCATGTAGGATTTGGCGGCAATTTGGACACGTCGGGAGCGGTGACGATCGCGCGGGGCGCAGGGAAATTGGAGATCGCGGATCGTGGATCTGATCTTTACCGCGGCGTCGAGCGTGGCTACAAGAGCTTGCCTTATGTGGCTGGCTGCAGCGAGAGTTGCTGGTGTTCACGTCCGAGCCAGCACATTCTCGGATGGGGCGTTTGCCCTCATGGGCCGTACGCTAAGAGGGACCATTGCCACCCGGGGGGCCGCGCTGTCCGTGCTTCAGGCTGCGGCAATGCTGGGCCGCGTTGGCGCGTCGGCGACCCCGCCGCGGACGCTCAAGGCTGACCGCCGCCTGAGGCCCGGGAGTCGAGGGACATGGAGCGATCCGCGTTGTCGGACAGCCGTGTTTGGTCAAGGCCGAAGGATCCACGCGGTGTTTGAAGCCAAGACATGGGTCGTCACGGCACGGTCCCGCCGCACGTGGTTATCCGCCCCCCGTCGTTGGTTTCCCATGTCGGGTCGTCGTTTCTTTCCGAATGCAGGCGGGGAGCATGATATTTCCCAACCATCCCCGATTGGGTATTCGCTTTGAATAGAGCAGAGCTCGGACGTCCTTCCTTCCTCTCGCCACCTCCCTCCTCCCGCCTACCTCTTGTCTCCTCTTGCCTTGTGCGGACCTCGCCATCCGATCAGCGAGACTGCCGCCACTTTCGAGGGCTGCTGGACTCCAGCAGAGTGGGTACTCACCGCGGGTTCAAATCAGACCTCGCCATCCTTGAGGGGCTACGATCTGCGAGACTGTCGCCACTTTCGAGGGCTGCTGGGGAGACCAACAGAGTGGGTACTCACCGCGGATCAGCATTTGACCTCGCCATCCCTGGGGGGCTGCGATCTGCGAGACTGTCGCCACTTTCGAGGGCTTCTGGGGAGGCCAACAGAGAGGGTACCCACCTCGGATCAGAATTGAACCTCGCCATTCTTTGGGGGGCTGCGATCTTCGAGACCGTCGCCAGTTTCGAGGGCTGCTGGGGAGGCCAGCAGAGTGGGCAATCGCCGCGGATCAGAAATAGACCTCGCCATCCCTGGGCAGTGGGACTGCGATCTGCGAGACCGCCGCCAATTTCGAGGGCTGCTGGGGAGGCCAGCTGAGTGGGCACTCACCGCGGATCAGAATCAGGCCTCGCCAACACTGGGGGCCTGTGATCTGCGAGACTGTGGCCATTTTCGTAGGCTGCCGGGGAGGCCAGCAGAGTGGTTACCCACCGCGGATCCAAATTAGATCTCGCCATCCCTGGGGGGCTGCGATCTTCGAGACCGTCGCCACTTTCGAGGACTGCTAGGAAGGCCAGCTGAGTGGGCACTCACCGCGGATCCAACGTAGACCTCGCCATTCCTGGGGGGCTGCGATCTGCGAGACTGTCGCCATTTTCGAGGGCCGCTTGTAAGGCCAACAGCGAGGTTACCCACCGAGGATCCAAATTGGACCTCGCCATCTTTGGTGGGCTGCGATCTTCGAGACTGTCGCCACTTCCGATGGCTGCTGGGGGGGCCAGCAGAGTGATCACTCATCGCGGATTCGAAGTAAACCTCGCCATCCTTGGGGGGGGCTGCGATCTGCGAAGCTGTCGCCACTTTCGAGGGCCGCTGGGAATGCCAGCAGAGTGGGCACTCACCGCGGATCAACATTTGACCTCGCAATCCTTGGGAGGGGGCTGCGATCTGCGTAGCTGTCGCCACTTTCGATGGCTGTTGGGGGGGCCAGCTGTGTGAGTACTTACCGCGGATCCACCGTAGACCTCGCCATCCCTGGGGGGGGGGTTGGCTGCGATCTGCGAGGCTGTCTCCACGTTCGAAGGCTGCTAGGGAGGCCAGCAGAGTGGGCACTCACTGCGGATCCAAATTTGACCTCGCCATCCTTGGTGGAGCTGCGAACTGCGAAATTGTCGCCAGTTTCGAGGGCTGCTGGGGAGGCCACTAGAGTGGGTACTCACTGCGGATCCAACGTAGACCTCGCCATCCTTGGGTGCTTCTGATCTGCGAAACTGGCGCCACTCGAGTGTTGCTTGGGGGGGGGTCAGCAGAGTGGGAACCCATTACGGATCCACATTAGACCTCGCCATCTCTGTGGGGTTGCGACTTGTGAAACTGTCTCCACTTTCGAGGGCTGCTGGGGAGGCCAGCATCATGGGTATTTGCCGCAGACTCAAAGTAGATCTCGCCGTTCCGGTGGGCTGCCCTTTCCCAACGGCTCATGTATTCATCTTGTCAATGCTTTTCACCAAGCCCGTATTCTGTGACCGGGGACCCGCGAGCCTCCCGAATGCCCTTTGCAGAAGTATATCCGTCCATGCCACGTCATCACCCCGAATAAAGTCTCCCAAGCTACTCGTACCCCGCATTGCGCAGGGGTTGGGTATGTCGCCAGGGTAATCGGATAGAGCAGTGCTCGCGCGTCCTTCCTTCCTCCCGCCTCCTCCCTCCTCCTCCCGCCTCCCTCTTGGCTCCTCTTGCTTTGTGCGGACCTCGCCATCCCTTGGGGTTGCGATCAGCGAGTCTGTCGCCACTTGCGAGGGCTGCTGGGGAGGCCAGAAGAGTGGGTGCTCACCGCAGATCAGAATGAGACCTCGCCATCCCTGGGGGGGGTGCGATATGCGAGGCTGTCGCCACTTTCAAGGGCTGCTGGGAATGCCAGCAGAGTGGGCACTCACCGCGGATCCAACGTAGACCTCGCCATCCCTGGGAGGCTGCGATCTGCGAAGCTGTCGCCACCTTGAATGGTTGCTGGAGGGCAGCAGAGTGGGTACTCACCGCGGATCCAAATTTGACCTCGCCATCCTGGGGCAGTGGGGCTGCGATCTGCAAGACTGTTGCCACGTTCGACGGCCGCTGGGGAGGCCAACAGAGAGGGTATCCACCGCGGATCCAAATTTGACATCGCCACCCCTGTGGGGCTGCGATCTGCGAAACTGTCGCCATTTTCGAGGGCTGCCGGCGAGGCCAGCAGAGTGAGCACTCACCGCAGATCCAACGTAGACCTCGCCGTCCTTGGGGGGGGTGCGATCTGCGAAATTGCCGCCATTTTCGATGGCTGTTGGGGGGGCCAGCTGAGTGGGTACTCACCGCGGATCAGAATTAGATCTCGCCATCCTTGGGGGGCTGCGATCTGCGAGACTGTAGCTGTAGCTACTTTCGAGGGTTGCTGGGGAGGCCAGCAGAGAGGGCACCCACCGCGGATCCAAAGTAGACCTCGCCATCCCTGTGGGGCAGCGATCTGCGAGACTGTCGCCACTTGCGAGGGCTGCTGGGAAGGCCAGCAGAGTGGTTACTCACCGCGGATTCAAAGTAGACCTCGCCATCCCAAGGGGGGCTGCGATGTGTGAACTTGTCGCCGCTTTCGAGGGCTGCTAGGAAGGCCAGCAGAGTGTGTACTCACCGCGGGTCCAAACTAGACCTCGCCACCCTTGTGGGGCCGCGATCTGCGAAATTGTCGCCACTTTCGAGGGCTGCCGGCGAGGCCAGCAGAGTGGGCACTCACCGCAGATCCAACGTAGACCTCGCCATCCTTGGGGGGGGGGATGCTGCGATCTGCGAGACCGCCGCCAATTACGAGGGCTGCTGGGGAGACCAGCTGATTGGGTACTCACCTCGGATCCAAATTAGACCTCGCCATCCCTTGGGGGGGCTGAGACCCACGAAATTGTCTCTTCTTTCGAAAGCTGCTGGGGAGACCAGCAGAGTGGGCATTCGCCGCGATCCAACGTAGACCTCGCCATCCCTGGGGGGCTGCGATCTGCGAGACTGTTGCCGCTTTCGACGGCTGCTGGGGAGGCCAGCAGAGTGGGCACCCACCGCGGATCAGAATGAGACCTCGCCATCCCTGGGGGGTTGGGATCTGCGAGGCTGTCGCCACTTTCGAGGGCTGCTGGGGATGCCAGCAGAGTGGGCACTCACCGCAGATCAGAATGAGACCTCGCCATCCCTGCGGGGCTGCGATCTGCGAAGCTGTTGCCGGTTTCGAGGGTTGCCGGGGGGGGGGGGCAGCAGAGTGGGAACTCGCAGCGGATCCAAATTAGACCTCGCTATCTCTGTGGGGCTGCGATTTGTGAAATTGTCGCCACTTTCGAGGGCTGCTGGGAAGCCCAGCATCATGGGTATTTGCCGCAGTCCAATTCGACCTCGCCGTTCCTGGGGGCTGCCCTTTCCCCAACAACCCGGAAGTTCAACTTGCTAATGCTTTTCACCAAGCCCTTATCCCTTGATCGGGGATCTGCGGGCCTCCTGAAGCCGTTTGCAGAAGTATATCCTTCCATGCCACGTCATCACCCCGTATAAAGTCACCCAAGCTACTCATACCCCGCATTGCGCTGGGGTTGGGTATGTCGCCAGGGTAATTTTCTATCACGTACGGTCGGACCGAGGTATAAGATCGAGGTCGGTTCAGGGAGGGTACCCTCATGTTCGTCGTGGTTGTTGGATGTTCCTGTGCATCTTGTGAGAGGGTACCCTCGAATGTTATGTGTGCTTTGGCGTGTGTGTTGGCCAGCGGAGGGTCTCAAGTTCTTGAAGGATGTTCTTCTGTGTTTAGTTCGGCCGTAATTGTTAGCCCTAGGTCGCGTTTCTTCGTGCGGTGGGGGGAGCGGAGGACACGGAAGCGGGCATTTAGTTGATTCGGGAAGGGTTGGAGGTATATCGAGCAACATATAGAGCCATCAGAGCGGGAGTCATTGCGGGTTGCCAAGTGGAAACCAGCACGCCAGTCTCACAATCAGTGGGTGGTCAGAGGTATCGCCTGGACACTCGGGCGGCCGAACGCCTGGGCCTATCTTGGATTCCTTGGCGCCGTTTGAGGGCCTTCTTCGGCGCTCTGGGACTTGTGATGGGCTCTCTTGGGGCCAACAGGGCATCCCTTGAGGGTTCCTGGGGCGTTTTGGGTGTTTCGGGGACGCCAGGAGGGGGAACCTGTGGTCGTCGGCGTGCGGTCTATTGGGCCGTCTCGAAGCCGTCTTCTGGTCATGCTGGGATGCAGATCGTGGGCTTCTCGAGGGGATGTCGCTCCCCAGCTCCCTGCTGTCAAGGCAGGGAGCTGAGTGCAACGCGACTGAGTGCAAGTAAGGACCCATGTACACACGACCTACGCCCAGCTTTTCGCCGACGTGGCGGGCAAAGGAAGCTTTGGCATGATGACATTGTATCTTATCTACATGACGTGGTCGACACCGACAACGATTCCAAATGGTGGGTGTTGGCCCAGAACCTAGCATGGTGGAAGACTCGTGAAGAAGGCTTCTTGGACTACATGCGTCGCTTCCTCCACTCCGGTAACTACAACGAATGAGCCTTCTGGCGCTCCGGCGCCCCCGCCGGGCTCTCATAGGGCCGTCCTTCGGGACGTTTTCCGGCGCTCTGCTCTGCTCTGCTCTGCTCTGCTGCTGTCAAGGCAGAGCGGCCGGCGATCCGATTCGACGGCGATTTGATTCGCCGGTCGGGGCTGCGATTCCGATGTGGTTCGATTCGGTTCGGTTCATCGGCTGGGGCCAGCCGGAGCCAGGCGCAGCGATCCGATTTCGATTCGGGACGGTTCGCGTGCGATCCGATCCGTTTCCGATCCGGCCCGATTGTGCGTTTCGATCGAGCTCAGGCCTGCCATGGGCAGAGCGCGCGCGGTGGGCGACTCGTGGCGGACACGATCCAGGTTCAGCCAAGTCGGCGGTTGTTCCTGTCGAGTGCTGGAGGCCTCTGCAGGTGCCAGGTCAGCCCACGAATCACGCAGGGCTACGAACCTGGAAGTGATGCCCACCAGCATGTCGCAAGCCCCCTGGCCGGCAGGCAGAGTGAGAGCAATCGCGAGAGTGAGGGCGGTGGTGGTCGTGGACTGTGGTCTCGTTATGATCCGCTGATCGCTGCTTCCCTCCCGTTCCGGGGGCGATCGGGAACCGATCGCGATTCCAGATGGGCACCAACGCTTCTCTTGGAACCGAAACAAGGCGAGAAGCAAGAACTCAGCACGCTGGTTCCACTCTTGGCGGAAGCACCTCGCGTCGAGGCACGTCTGCGCCACGAGGGGGGGGGCAGAGAGAGAAGAAACGGCGGCAGAAGAGCACGTCATTGGGCTTATGATGTTCCCATCTACTTTAGCCTTGATCACCAGAAAGAATTTCGAGCACCCCAAGAAATTCCAAAAACTCGAGGGTTTTCACGTGCCGGGCCCTGGGAGACACTCGCCCGACACTGTTTCGACACTCTTTCCACACTCTTTCGACACTTTTCCGGGTGCTCGAAATTATTTCTGCGAGGTGATCTCTAAGTAGGATGGGAACCACAGAATTTTGGGCAGCACTCCGCACGGGCATCGATAGGGACAGATCGGTTCGATGGGCAGCAGCACTGGCACAGGCAGGCCCAGGAGACGGCCGGGCACACGCTGCCACGGGCACCCCACGCTGAGATTATGGCATCGTGCCCGCGCTGCGGAGAAGTCTGCCAGCGGACCGGGGCCCTGAGGCTGGCCGGCTGTCGGCTGCCGGCGGAGCTGGTGGCCCGCCCACCGGCCGTCGGCTAAAGTGCAGGCCGCGCTTTTTCACCTCCTACTCAGTCTCCAGATCTTGTCTCCTGTTGGCTTCAAGTACTTTGTCACACACCCCTTTCTTATCCGTGCATCCTGTATACTAAACTACGCATCGCACCGTCTCATTAACTGCTGTACACTCCGAGTATATTATCTCTACCATGGCGCACCTGCGTCTGCTCGTCAGCTTGGTCGGGGCCAGCGCCGTGCCCAGCCTGGCATACGATGACGAGCTCAATTTGATGCAAATATGGAAGACATCCGACACGAACGTCTCGAGGCAATCACCGACTGATGGTGGATTGAAGTCGTGGCTGATCACGCTGAAGAGCGATGCTACACCTGACGAGGTGCAAGCTTTCTGTCAGGAGTTCCAAAGCCCGATGTACTTGACGCAGGCGCCATTCTGTCAAGGGTTCAGTTCAGTCGAAGGGCTCCAGCAGATACTGGAGAAGTACCCTGGGCTGGTCGCCTCACACGAAGAGGACCCGTACACAACGAAGGCAGGGTCCGTTTCGATCCGATTCGATTCGATTCGATGTCAAGTCTGGCCGGCCCGATCCGATGCGATTCCGATTTTCCGACCATCCGATGTGGCCCGATGTCTGCATGGCGTTGCTGCGCATCACGTCGCAGCCGATCCGAATCGATCCGACCCGATCTACCGATCCGATACTGACCGATCCTGCGAAGGCCACAGAGCACATCATACCAGATGACATTCCGCTCGAGCGGCGTACCTACCCGTGGGGCATCAGAGACATCAACGCGCACGTGGTCCGGGGGCGGGGCAAGGGCGTGAACGTGTACGTGCTAGACACCGGCATCCGCACGACGCACGTCGCTTTCGGCGGCCGTGCCTTCGCCGCATTGGACATTGCTTCAAAGGGTTATCCGAGAGGGCTTCGCCCGCGGGGGGAAGGGGGAGCGCCACCACCACCATGGGGGGCACCTCCAGCGAGGAGGTCCACGATGCCTCTCCAAGCTTGGGATAGGGGATGTCTCGAGCGAGAGACGACATCCCCTGGCCCTTCACGCTCGTGTTCCCTGGTGGTGCTTGTGGTGTCGCTTTTCCTTGTTCCCTTCCCCATCAGAACGGGCTACATCAAAAATACATTGGAATGCTTGTGCGCCGACTTGAAGCAATAGCAGAACCTCGTGCGAGCACGGTTGGTGACCATGGCGTCAGAAATCGGGGGCGCGAACATGTTGTCATGTACCAGGGCGTATGGTCTCGGGAGCGCGAATCTGATATACTTTCACTATTCCTGGGGCCTCTTGGAAAGTCTTAGGATTCCAGGGCGGGAAGGTAGAAATATTGTTTTGTGTTCCTCCCGTCGCGAGGACAGTAACGAGTTACTGTAGGAAGCAACAGGTATAACTGTCCAGCTGCCTGCGGCAAGTCCCGCCATCGTGCCAGTCCAGCATGCTCGGCGGCTCTCCTTCGAGGGGGCACTGGAGGAGCAGCGTAGTGGATGTTCGTTAAAATTTCGTGGGAGGCCTCTCTGGAGCCTCTTGAAGGCAGTTTCGATGCCTCTTGGGGGCCGTTTTTGGGGCCTCTTGGGGGTCTTCGGGGCCTCTTGGGGTCCCTTGGAGCCCTCTTGGGGGCCTCTTGGGGCCTCCTGGGCGCCCCTTGGGGGCCCCTTGGGGCGGAAGGCTCGGATTTTCGGTTCGTGCTCCTTCTTTCAGGCTCCTTTTGGGGCCGTCCTGGGCGCCTCTTGGGACGTCGCGGGGCGCTCTTAGGCCGTCTTGGGGCTCTTTTGGAGGCCTCTAGGGCCGTTTTGCATCGGAAAGCCGAAAAGGCGAGAACTCCAAAATCCTTCAAACACGTAGGGAGAATCAATGATGTTTGCCTTTTGGGGCCCTCTTGGGAGACCCCTTGGAGGCCTCTTGGGGCGCCTTGGAAGCTTTTTTCGCCATCTTGAGGTCATCTTGGGCGTCTTCGAGCGATCGTTCGGCGACTCGGAGCCCTCTTAGTCTGCCTCCGGCGCCGTCATGGAAGCCTTGGAGAGCCCCAGGAAGGCGCCATGTCCGCCCAGGAACCACCCCCCGTGAGCATGGGCGATGCACGCAGCATTACGCGACCCGGAGGGGGGGGGTCCCTTAGAAGATGAGAAATACCTTATCAGACAGCACTTCGCATTCTAGCACGCTTCAACGTGCCAGGGGGCACGGTGGCGGATAACAGAGGAGACTGGGAACTCGAACTGTTGCAGGGCGCAGTAAAGCCTCAGCTTCGCAGCCTGCGCCTGGTGGCCCCGAAGGGGTCGGCGGATATGCAAGAGTGCGCGCCAACTGACACAACGTGCGCTGCCGACGGCTACGGGCACGGCACCCACGTTGCTGGCACGATCGGGGCTTCGACGTATGGCGTCGCGGATGGGGCGACCATTTGGGCGATAAAGGTCCTCGACAACAGCGGCAACGGCTACACCATGTGGTCCGTTATGGGCGAGTATTGGGTTCATCAGTCTGGTTTAAGGCCAGCAGTGGTGAGCATAAGTCTCGGGGGCGCTGGCACTAGCCCAGCGGAGAAGATGATGATCGACCGTTTGGCCGACGATGGCGTGACCGTGGTGGTGGCTGCAGGGAATTTGAACACTGATGCGTGCGGGTGGAGTCCAGCAAACATCCCATCGACGATCACGGTGGCAGCTTATGGCGGCATTTTGGGCTCTTCACCGGCTATGTCTTCGTTCAGCAACTACGGGTCTTGCGTCGATGTCTGGGCTCCAGGCTCTTACATCCTCTCGACGTACATCGGCAGCGACACCGCGTTGGGTGAATCCTCGGGAACGTCAATGGCTTGTCCTCACGTTTCAGGCCTTGCGGCCATCATGTACGAGGATTACCCAACTGCGGGGTCCATGACCGCTGCACAGAGGTGGAGCCTCATGACGGCCTCGAGTCGCAGTGGCTACGTCACGGGCATTCCCAGCAACCTCCCCACAGTCAATTTGGTGGCCTTGGCGCCCACACCGGCCGGTGCGACGTCGGCGACGCCGATGCCCACAGCACCCGCGCCCGCTCCGAGTGTTGCGACGTCGCCGACGTCCGGCACTGCTGGCACTGCTGGCAATTCTGGCGCTGCTGGTGGAGCTGCTGCCGCCGTTGGCGATCCTCACCTGCAAAACGTTCACGGCGAGCGGTTTGATTTGATGAAGCCAGGGAGCCATGTTTTGCTAAACATCCCTCGCGGAATCAGCGCTGACAACGCGTTGCTTCGAGTGGAGGCCGATGCGCGCCGGCTGGGTGGATGCACGGATATGTACTTCCAAGAGTTGAATATCACGGGTTCGTGGGCAGAAGCGGCGAAGGTTGGCGGATACCGTTACGCTGTCTTGCAAGGTTTTGACAGCTCGCGGGAGTGGCTAGGTTTTGGTGGTTCTGTGGGTCAAGAGGTCAAGATTAAAGTCGTCCATGCACGTACGCAAGGTGGACTCCGGTACCTGAACTTCTACGTCAAGAACTTGGGGCGGGTAGGGCTTGCCGTGGGCGGCCTCCTCGGAGAGGACGACCACGGGGATGTGAGCACTCCGCCGGCGGCCTGCGCCCGCGTGATGTCTCTTCTGGATCTGGCACCGAAGGCGCAGGGCCAGAATGCTGCGCCGTCCTCGGTTGCGGCCGCAAGCTTCGGGGATGTGGACGGTCCCTCCGAGGATAATGCATGATCGTGCCAAGGTGGTGGATCTGTCCGCGTTTGTCTCACGCCCTCAGCTGAGCTCGGCACGCTGTCCTGGTGCGCCAGCTATGAAAAGTCACATGCGCAAGCTGGCATGAACGCCTCCTTCTGGATACGGCTTCGCTCGGAGCGCACTTGTGCCGTTCTTCCCCCGATCTCCGCGTGCCTATCGTCTTCGATGTGTCTGGATCCCTTTCCCATATTCTCTCTCTCTCTCTCTCTCGTTCACTCTTTTTGTTTGTTCTCTGTCTCTCTCTCTCCCCCTCTCTGTATATGTATGTATGTATAAATGTATCATACTGCTCTCGCGTGCTCTCTCTCTCTCTCTTGTTTCTCTCTCTTTCTCTCGCTCTCTCTCTCTCAATTTCTCGCGCTCTATTTCCACTATGATCCTCACACCGCTTTAATTGCCGCGTCGGCACCAAACACTTAGATTAGAACAAGGAGCAAATTGCATTTGGGAATGCACCTGCTCTCTGGTCTAGAGCATCATCGGTACCCAGAATAATTACTGACGCGTTCGAAGGATACCTCGGAATCAAGGGACATCATATTGTCATGTGGAATTGGCGAAAGAAGCATATTCAGAGTCATGCTTTTCTGCTCACGCGTTTCCGCTTCGAATCGCACACATCCTGGCCTTGTTTTGGGAGCCCCGGCAGGAGGAAGGGGCAGGGCATGTGAAATTCTTACTTATAGTGACCTTGCGATGTTTGGATGGTGCACGCAAGCAGACGCATTTGGGACCGTCACGATTCAAGACGCGTGCGTTGTATGCCGTTGTGCTGCTATCGCGAACCGACGTCTTACAACACGACTATTGCGCTCTGGAATGCGCGTTTCACTACAGTCCAAAAGCCAAAGTTGCGCTGAAAGCGTTGCGTTGCGCCTCTGTGCGTTGCGTAATGCGACTTGATGTGTACTGCGAACTTAGCTTCTCCCTATTACTCTGCGAGCTGTGCGTTGCAGCCCATCCCTACAACTAGTACGGATACCATGACCGTGGCCACCAGGACTATTGTGCAGTGAGCTCTCGGGCCAAACTGCTGCACTTGAACAGTTGTGAGTGTTCGCACTCAAGCAGAGTGCGATGTGTACTAGCATTTGCCGCGCCACC